GGAGTCCTTGCAAGAGGCTGCCTTTACACAAGGGAGGGCAGGGTGGGTCAGTGGGTGGGAGAGCGGGAAGGCTGATTTCACCTCAAATTAAAGGAAAACCTTGTAGCCATACCAGCTGCCCAACAGAGGTGTGGCCACCATCTGTGAGCGCGCTCTCCATCCTAGGTGGGACTTCTCTGTAGTGTGGGAGGTGAACATCCCCGTTCCTTCCACCTCCGGATGCTCATGATGCGCTGGTCAGTGGTGGTTTTGTCTCTGACATCTGACAATATCCGTGGCTCCCAGATGCTACCTAACATTTCTTTAAAGGCACAGCGATCCTTCCGTGATGACGGCCATTGTGGAATTGGGTAGGGGGATCTCATGACTTCGGGGAGGGAGCAGAAGTACCCAAACTCGGGGGCTTTATTCTCTTCCAACAAATAGCTGAGCTATTCTTGGAATTCATTTATCTCTGGAAAGTTTATAAATTACTAGAACGGGGGTTTTATTCATTTATTTGTCTTAGAAATCCAGTTTTTACTAATTTCCTAGCTTCTCGTGTCAGCATCCAAATGCCTTTGTCCTTAGCACAGCACATCAGATAAAGTCCTTTGATATTTCCAGTGACGACGACGGCGTGCCTGTGTAGGGAGTCTAAGGAAAGCTCCCCTTTTGGTCGCTCCCTCCCTCCAGATGTGTCTCCTCGCCCTTTCCTAGACCCTATGAGTTTGCTTTCTCCTCTGCATTACTTGCCACCCCCTTCTCAGTCCTTTCCATGTTCTATTAACTGGCCACAATGCAAAACTGAAATTTACATTTGATGGTGCTTTTTTTTTTCTGTGTACTGGATTGCCTCATTCTCTGCCCTGAATTTTAAAATGAGGTGAATTTAAGCTGTTACCTGTTTTTCTCACAAACATCAACAGAGCTCTAAACAGCAATAGTTTCTCTGCCCTCAGGGACCTGCAGTGTGACAGGAGCTCTCTGAGCTGCTCCTAACTGTGCCTTTGCCTTCTCTGGCCCAGGGTTCTTTTTTGAACTTTCCTTTTTCATTTCCTTGAATATGTATCATTTAGGTATTCTCAGAGTGTTCAATATTCAGCACTCTTTTTCCTTGAAAACAAATGGCTTTATAGACGGATGAAAAAATGGGAAGCAAGCTTAATTTATTTCCATACAATTGTGTGGCAGAGGGAGAAATCCAGATATTATTATTACTAGTATCATGCTAAACCAATGTCTTTTTTAAAAAATATGGCCATTTTAGAATTTAAATATCAGTTCTTTAATGTGGAAGAAGACACAAATATAAGTGGTAAAAAGAAATAGGACTTACCTTAAAACAGGCTTCATATTCAAACCTGAAGGAACCTATGCCAGCATGGCAGGTGGGGGCCAACATTTGATCCGTGCTGTGTGAAACATTGTTAATGTGGCTGGAGGGGGGAATAGTGCTTTGCTGGTGTAATTCGTAGATGGCATTGGCATTGGAGAGCTAACAGCGTGGGTGGCAGGCTCTGGACCCAAATGATCAGGGAGACTATTGACCAGGAAGCAACATATAGTCCTCCGTTGGGTTAAAAAAAATAAAAAATACTATACAAGTACAAGGTGTGGAAGATATAAGAGTTTTGGTTGACTAAGCTCAGTGTGAGTCAGGAAAGTGGGATGGACCACAACAAAATTAAACACAAAACACTTGGGCTACATAAGGAGAAGACGCTGGCGAGCGTGTGCCACGTTGTGGGGAGTGGCACCTGTGGTTAACATTCAGCTGAGCGTGCCCAGTCCTGATGAGCAGTGCAGGCTGATCAAAACAGAGGAAAAGACTTTATGAGAATGTTTAGCCTGGAGCCCTTGGGATAGCTATCCAGGAACAGGAGATCAATCTACAGGGAGGCAGGCTTCAACTCTTGCAGAAGAGCCAGCTTTCTGCAAGTTAGAGCCTTCAGGAGGTAGAGCCTCCCTGGCCGGTGGTGGCTGACCTGTCGCTGTCAGTCTCAGCAGAGGCTGAATGGCCCTTTGTCAGGGATGCTGGAGCGGGGATTCACGCACGCAGCTGGGGCAATATGACTTAAGGTCCTTACCAAGTCTGGATTTGGGTGACTATAAGTAGAACAGTTTTAAATGATTCTTCTGGTCTGGAATGGCCAGTGCAGGCACGCCTACTTCCCATTCCTGTGTCTGCAATTTGGACCCTGTGCCGCACCCCTCCAAGCTCAATGCAGCCACTAGGAAACTGGTCAGAGCTGCCCTGACTGGTCCTGCTTTGTAGACGAGTAACCAAATGTCCCGATGGACAGTTCCATGCCCAGGGTCACATGCCTCGATGGCGGCAGAGCCTCTACTAGACTAGGACCCTCTAGTACCATCTCTGTTTCTCAATTCACCTTCCTTTCCGGCACCTTTGCCGGAGCAGAGTAACCCTCCCCACCCCGAACAGTCCCGCCTGCGGGTTACAGCGGGAGCCGTCCTCCGTGCTGAGGACCGTGACCATGAGAGGCTGGGAACTTCCAACCACGTCCTCGCCATCTTCCAGACTGAGCCCTTCGCCTCAGTGAGAGGAAAGCCATCCTGTTACATAACTAGCCACACCTGCCTTGACCTCCACGCCCCCACCATTCAGTTTGACAGAAGGATATACTTTGTTATAACTTATTATTTGTTCTTTGTAAATACAAGATGTTTATAGGAAATGTGTATTCTGAACTCTATTGACAGAATGAGTCACTACACCAAAATAGTTCTCTTATTTAGAATAAGTTAATTTTAAAGGGACCTAATAGGTATTTATTTACATATGCAATCCACGTTTGTGTAAAATCATTTGATCCTACTAACCCCAGCTTCCTGGAAAGTTGCTACACAACGTCTTACCCTAAGTCCATAGTTACGATTTGTACACTGATTAGTCAAATTCCTTGGGTTTTAAGATGGAATATAAATTACTTGGCTTTTCGACTTGCTCAGGGCTTTTTCCCCCTGGCATTGTGTCCGTCTAGATTGCCACCTTTTCATCTTAAATATTTTTTTTTGCTCATATAATATGCCCTCTCTTCATGCCCAAACACTTGGAAAGGGAAAGATGAGGGTCTTTCCCTGTCTCCTCTGTCTTGTCTCCTTCATGAGAGTCACCAGCAGTGAGTTGTGGGAGCTCGGTGAGAGCCCTGGGTGAAGCAGTCTCCCTCCCCGCAGGGCCCGGGGGCATGAAGATGCATTTGCTGACCGCCCTGTGTCCGGGGCCCCCTGGGCACTGCTGAGTGGGGGCTCTGGGCGTTCCTATCAATAACTGCATAGTCAGGAGCAAGGAGCCCCCTGAGTACTCCACTGACTGTGTCACCTTGTGATGTTAAATTATTGTTTAAAGAGGTGGAATGTGAAGGTGAATTATATGAGTAAGTACGGTCTGTTTTCTCTTCAGCAAAAAGGACAACTATTTTTGTGTATGACTAATTTATTTTTATTATTGTAAAAATACAATAAACTGATTAAGAGATCAGCTTTGTTAACACATTTGTGCTCACATTGCTTCAGACAGCCCCCTCTACAGAGAAGAACCGGGCCCCTCAGAGGCCGTTGGCTTGTCAGACTGTGTTCCGGGCGCCCTGGGGGCGGCGGGGCCACTTGGAGGACAGGGTCCACCTTAGACAGAGGCTGTGAGCCTGTGGTCTGTGCAAGTCCTCAGCGTGGCTGTGAGAGGATCCCTGGGGAGCTTAAGATAACACATTCAGGAAAGTGGCCACCCCCAGGGTGGCCCTTTTCTGGTCTCTTTTCAAACGTCCCTCAGGCAGGAGAAAAGGTGGGGCCCACTGTGCCATTCAGTGGGGCTCCATCTCCCAACTTGACTAAAACTTCTTCCAACTTCCCTCGGCTGACTTCACCTTGGTCGCAAGTTAGCAAAGTGTTTGACAAGATCTTTCAGGTTATCGTGGTGTGTAATAAGGTGACTATGACTTAGGTCATGACACCTCTGGAAAGTCACCCTGGCCTAGATCGCTAGTGGAGTGCCTATGAGCTCTGTCCCGACTCCATCCTGCACAGCATTTCATCAGTCACTCTCAGAAACTTATTATTATGCCTGAAATGTGCTTTTCAGCCCTCCCCCCCACCTTTTTCCTGCCTGGAAAAATCTTCATTTACTCTGTTTTCAATTGTGGTAAAATTCATGTAACCTAAATTCTTTTACTCGTCTTAAGTGTACAGTCAATGGCGTTTAATGCATTCAGTGACATGCAACCTGCTGCACAACAGTGTCATTATCTCCAAATTCCGCCTATTCTGCAATACCCAAACCGTGCTGAGCACTCCTACACACTCTATCTTGTTGACTCTTCACAGCAGACCTGAAGTTAAAATGTTATCCCCTTTGATAAATGAGAACTCAGAGCGGTTTGGTGCAGCTGCCACTTGGTGGCACCAAATTTCCACAGTCAGCTTCCCCAGAGGCGGCCTGTCTCCCCAGCGCCAGCTCCCCAGGGCCTGGCATGCTCATGGTCCAAGCCCATGCTAGTTCTGGTCTCTCTCGCCACACCAGTTCCAATCATTGGAAAGCAGCTGCATGGGCACTGGATGGGCGCTTAGCTGTTGATGATATGTCTGGTATGGTTTAGTTTTACCAAGCTTGGTATGACCAACCTGGTCCTAGGCTGCATTTGAAGATACGCAATCACCACCCAGAGGGAGGAAATGCGCCCTTCTCTGTTCTTGGGACCAGACCCAGATGGTTGGATCCCTTGGGCTCCAGTTCAAGGGACCACATGCCATACACATTGATTGAACTCCAGGAAAGAACCCACAGATGGTGGTCAGGATGGTGTTTGGAATGGGGGGTGTCTAGAGGGGAAACTGTCTTCAACCATCTTCAGAAATCTCCAGAACTATCAGGATAGAAGACAAGAACCTGGAAACGACAGCAGATCAGCAAAGAAAAGGGGCAGGGAAT